CACGCCATCCACGATCTGATGTGTGTGGCCGATACCCTCAGTAACCAGACCAGGGTTTAGCAAGGAGAGTTGACCGACCGCGGAGTTGAACCCATCCTCCAGAGCACCGACGCAATCCGCCTCGAGGAGCCGGATATGGGCGACCAGCTCCAACCGACTCTTCAAAGCCATTATGTCCTCGGGCTCGTCCTCGGCAGGTTGCACGGCAGCATTCATTTCCTCGATCTGCTGGGCCAAGCGCTCGACTTCGGCCCCCAGACGATCCCTGTCTGCCCGACGAAGCTCCCCCTCCTCGGCCAACTTCCCCGACTTCTCCTTCTCCAGGGTCAACATCTCCCTCTCAGCATCGAGCATCGTAGTCTGCTCGCGGAACATCTCCTCGGAGCGTTCCAGAGCGACCTTCAACTTCCGCGAGCTCGAGGTCAGGGCCTCCTTCTCCTGCTCGAGTTCTTCAACACGGGCAGGATCCCCTCCATCCTCGGATAGCACCAAAGCCATCTCGGCCATTTTTACCAGCCCGTCCATGCTGGCGGCCAGATGCGCCTTCCGGTCCTCTTTACTCATCTTTTTTATGGCTGCAGCTTCGTCGGCAATCACTGTCAGAGGGAATCTCTCGAAAAAGCCCGCCTCTTCGAAGCAAGGGGGAAGGCGAAAGATTTAACAGCACCGGCATCCTCGGCAACAGTCGGACCACTTTCCACACGGGTCCTCTTCCTCTGTATCAAGACGGTACTAGGGTCGATCTCTTCAACTTCTGGGGTCCCATCCGACGCGGCCCCCGAGCTTGACGGCGAGTCCACCCGCACCGGCTGAGGAGCATTTGGACTGTGTGGTGGGCCCATCCTCATCGCCTGTGGGGCCTTCACGACCCTCCTGCCTCGCTTCTGGTCGCAGGATAATTTCAAGAGCCTTTCATGTCGACCAGCCATCGAACCTGCACAAACTAAAGGTTGGGTCAGTATCGAGCAAACTCATAAATAAATGACGAGCAAAAGAAATTCAAGCAATAGACAACCTAACAGACGGGCAACCTGCCTATACGCCGGGCACTCCACGAGCGCCTTGGTATCAATCGGACGGGACTCGAATGTTGGGTAACCATCTTTGTCCAAGATATCATCCCCTTCCCGCGTAACCCACCAGGCAGGATGGAAGCTATCGACAAACCGGCAAAGCGCGGCATACGCCTCCTCGTCTTCCGTGCACATGTCCCCGGCAGCAGTGTGGTAATAACCAGTCCCATGCTCGTAATGCCAGGACATCCAGTGCACAGGGACTTTGGCCGTACGGGCCAACACAGGGTTCCCATCGTCGCCCAAAACCGCCTCCCCGTCCTCGTCGCTCAGCGGCTCCTCCTCCTCGAAAAGAGAACTTAAAGCAGAGGTGGTAACTGGCCGCACCACGTACCACTTGTCTTTAAAACCCCTCACGGAGTCCATATACATCTTGAAGAGTCTCCTCGACTGCTTCAGGGAGACCCAGCTATGTTTCCCTCCTCGGGACTGGCGCTGCAGGTGAAAAATCCGGAAGAAGAGCGGTATGGTCGCCCCGATCCTCAAGTAGCGACACGTCAACTCAAACGCCCGGATGAAGGCGAGCGAGTTTGGATGTAGCTGGGACGGGGCCAGCTCCAGGTGAGTGAAGACCCCACCTGGAAATCAGTGAAGGGCAGCCGCAACCCTAGGTCTTTGAACGCGATCTCATACATCGCGAAGCTATATTCCGGATAGATCGAGCAAATCCTTGCACGGGATGACGGGCGCATGACTACGAAGTTCTTTTGGAAGTCGGGCTGGCCCTGGCCCGCTTCAATGACAGCATACGGATCCCGGTCGTCTCGGCTGTAGATCGATGCGATCCCTCGAGGCTCGACGCCCACCCAATCCAGCGAAGGGTCGGTCACAGTATCAATCAGGTTGACCGACTCGTCGGCGCTTTGTTCTTCACGATCGTGACGCCCGGAGGTGCTCGGCTCGTCCTCCATGGTTACCTGCAGAGCACGGAAAACCAGTCAATTGGGCACGAAGCCATACGCTCGACAAATCACGTCGTCCCATTCACGACCATGTAGTCCGTTTCCACGAATGGTTGCCTCCCCGACATCCTGAAACTCGGTGTTCTTCCTCAAACCAACTACGCGGTCACTCTCCAACACGTCGACCCAAGGTTTGAACATGGCGAGCCACACCATGAGGCCCACGGCCAAGACCATGAACATACCGAGCGCGATCATGAATCAGGCGCCCTGGATCATGAAGACCCCGGGCAGCGCTGAAGTTTATCACCTAAAACTATGAATACGCCGACCACAAACATGCGTTTGCCGGTCCTAGGCATGAATATGTCGGGCTAAGTATGAGTTTACCGGGCTAATCCCACGCGCACGACCCTAAAACATCTACAAACGCCAAAAATCATGCATCCTAACAAGAAAATGAAGAAGATAGACCACTTACTTGAATCAAAGAGTAGGATTTGACTACGGAGTAGAAGAATCTGTGACAGAAAGTCGCAACTGGAAAAAATCTGGAAGAGCAGCAGCAGAGAGAGCGCAGAGAATAGAAATGTGTTATGGGGCCCAAGGTTCCTATTTATAGTGATGACGTGGAATACCAAACGTCACCTCGGGCAACCACGGACTCCCTCTCCTCGACGCGCTGCTCCCAACGCAATGATGACCCTATCCCCATAGGGTGGCGGCACAGTTCCCGAAAGATACCTCGTATGCTCGACAGACACGCTCGGTAAGGATCCTCGGAGCATCCACCACCGAAGATGGCCCCGAGCACAACGCGAAGAGGCCCTCGAGGGCCCACACCTCTGTCCCGGGCACGAGACCTCGATGAGGAAGCGACTTGAGTTCAAGTCATGGCTCCTCACAAAGGAACCACAACTTGGGGGGCTCCTGTTCTGGACTGGGCCCGACAGGCCCAAAAGCATTGCAAAGGCCCAGTCCAAATGGACTTACAAGGGCCACGCCGACCAAAGAGTGAGACCGTGCCCGACGCGCAGTCGCTGGCTCGACGATACACCTCCAGCTCGACACGAGGTGTTCCAGCACCACAATCTGGGGTCTAGCTCGACGTTACCTCGAGCACCCCAGTTAGGGCAGACTCAATCCACTGTCCCCCCAACGATACCCCGAAAAGACCGCGTCTCCGTCCGCCCGCACTTCACGCAGAACATCCAGGAAGGGGACCACGTGCGGGTCCCCACTACGCACGTAGAACCTGGCAGTTCCTCCATTGGGCCAAACCTGCCCGGCCCAGTGAAGGAACCTTGGCCCAGCGCTGGGGGCTATAAATACCCTCTGCTTCCAGAGGGTCAGGTATTGATCATTCTAACCTTACACTTGCTATTATCTGCTCGTACTCCTACTTACTTCAGCATCGGAGTGCCTTGCAGGTACCCCCCCCACCTCGTTCAAAAAAGATTTCTGCTCAGAGCCAGCCGTGACGGTCCATTTCTGATCAGGTCAGATCAAGATGATAGAGGGATCTTAGGGGAAAAAATTGGGGTACAACAAATCTCAATTAACCTGTACAAAGGGGTCATTTCTGCCTTATCAAGAAATATTGTTGGACCCGTACAAAGAGATCATTATTACCTTAACATGCTATTTTGTTGGACCCTTACAAAGATATCCTTGTCGCTTTATCAAATAATATTGTTGGACCTTTACAAAAGGATCCTTGTCTCCTTATCATGCTATTTTGTTGGACGCTTACAAAAGGGGTCATTATCGCCTTATTAGACTATCTTGTTGGACCCTTACGAAGGAATCCTTGCCGCTTTATTAGGGTATTTTGTTAGACATTTACAAATGGATCATTGTTGTCTTATCGAGTTATCTTGTTGGACCTTTACGAACATATCCTTATTGTCTTATCAGGTTATCTCGTTGGACCAGTATAAAGGGATTCTTGCAGCCTTACAAGAGAGTCCTTGTCGTATTCTTCGACTATCTTACTGGACCCTTACGAGGGACCCTTGTCGCCTTATTAGACAATCTTATTGCATCTTGAGAAGAAGTCATTGCAGTCTTATTAGACTATTATATTTGACCTTGATAAAGAGTCATTTATGCCTCAATAGACCATTCACTTAAAGCAAAGCAAGGAGCCCCGATGAAAAACATTCCTCTAGACTATGCCCTATTACTACAAATAATAGAAGATCCATAACGCTAAGAAACTTATGATTTTTTCAAATATAATCATATATAATCATGATTTTTATAGCAAACTTATATTTTACAATCTCGCTATTCCATCTCGATGTTACAATTGAATAAAATCTTATAATTGAGTAAGATCTTTCAATTTTAACTACAATTTTAGAGTCTGTTGAGTAAGACTCAAAAAAGAGCTTTTACCTTTTAGCTTTTAATTTTTTAGTTCATATTAATAAAAAACCTTCGTTTGGTAACTCGATTTTAGCTTGTAAATTTTTTATTAGGTTTTAACCTTTTTTTTTCAAAAACTATTTAAAGTAGCTTTTGAGCTCGTAATTTTTACCTTGTGACTTTTTCTTCTATTTATATTTTTATTATTTTAACAATAATATATTATTATCTTTATTAATTAAAATAACTTTTATTATTTTATATTTATCAATAATTAATATAAATTTATTTATTAGTCAGTAAGTATAAACTATCTGTTACCAAGTACTTTTACTAAATAAAACAAAGCTTAATATATTTTATGATGTAGTTATTCTCCTCCGATTTCATACAACATACTGATTTTGACCGAGGTTGAAACATCCTCATGATCATGTTATTTAAGCTACAAGTATTTTAAAGAGAGAATATTATTCAATGAATCAAGTGTAAATAAATAATTTTTGCTTTTCTATCTAACAAGAACATTTTGATAAGTATTTGAACCGAAGCATGTGATTACAAGATGAAGACACGCAGAATACACGTGTTGGTTACTCCACATTCACACAAAAACAGATTAGGCGCGCACCCAACTCCACTTTTCACAACAACAATGACGTACCCTCTCTCTTCCACCTTCAACATTCCCATAACTCGCCTCCCTTTCTTCCATCGCACCACAATACCGCCTTCTCGAATTTTATGCTTCTCAAAGAACCACAGCCTCACAAAGGACCAACCCGACGACACTTCTGCGAGGTTAACGAAGCAATTGAAGAGTGTGGTTCCTATCCTAATTGCCTCCACCATTCACTTCAGTTTTCTGTTTCCGTTGCTCGATTCGGTTCCTTATGTGTCTTCTCCTGCTGCCATGGCTATTCTGTATTCGCCAGATACCAAGGTTCCCAGAACTGGTGAAGTTGCTCTTAGGAGAGCCATTCCTGCAAACTCTAACATGAAGTCTATACAGGTTATTTTCTATTCATTCTGCTTCATTCTATATATAAATAACATCCACACTAATTCTTACAACGGAAACTCATTCAGGAGACTCTTGAAGATATTTCTTATCTCTTGAGGATTCCACAAAGAAAACCTTATGGAACAATGGAGGGGAATGTCAAGAAAGTTTTGAAGGTATTCATAATCTCTTTTTTCAGTTCTATTTATCATACTTTAATACCTTACATCCCATGGTTTAACCATTTTAGATGCACTGTATGAAATGATGAAGAGAAATAGAATATATGTAAACCATAGGGTTCGTGTTCAATTTGTGTTCAAAATTAAAACCCAAGCTCACGGAAATTTTACAGCACTGTTGTAAGACATTCTTGGTGTTAGAGATAAAAATAAAGTAAGATCCATGGGACAGAGGTGCAGACTTTATGATGAGTCATGGAATCCACAAGACAAAATACAAGAATGAAAGTTAGGTGTATCTTAGTCGCAAAATTACTGATTATTTGGTGTTATTTCCTTTCTAAACTTTGAAGGCACCGTTTTTTACTTAATCAAAAATAGTTTTAATTTGTTAAGAAGCTTTGTACTTGTGCAAACTTGATGGTCTTTCAATCTTCTATGACATCTTTAAAGCTTCCATAACTTGGTGTGTCGTTTTTGTTGATAGAAAGATATGCGAATGCAACTTGAGTAATTTAAAACTTCGCCATTTACTTGCAAAGTTTCTGATATTTATAAATTTTGTTTGACGTCATCCTTCTTGTTGTGTCATATTGGCACAAGGACTTCAAATGTTGACAAGTTCCTTCCTTATTTTAGATAGCGGTAGATGAAAAGGATGCTATATTGGCAAGTATACCAGCAGAACTGAAGGAAAAGGCTTCTCTGGTGCATGCAACTCTAATAGATGGAAAGGTATTTTAGAAAATACACTTGGATTATATGATTATTTGTATATCATTCAAGTTCCAACTTTTCTTTCTAACATTAGCGACATTCACATTTCAACAAAGTTGCATATGTTTATGATGATTTCAATTGTTTAACTTTGGGGCTATGGCTATACATAAGATGATTGTTCTTGTATTACAATATAGCTAGATTTTTCTGTTGGTTATGCTTCTCATATATAGCTGATGTACCATGTGCTTGTAAGTAATTTAGGCTTTATGCCTTTTGCTTTGATATTTCACTGAATATATAATAATTACAACATTTACGACTAATAATTACAAATTAATGGGAGCAAACCAATTTCTGATTTGTCTAACCTATTCTAAGAAAGATGATAAATATAATTACTCATTGATATTATTTCTCGATTGACGCTTGCGGCTCATCAATGAGCTAACAAGAAAATGATAGCATTGGTGTGAAATAGTCTTGGTAACATTAGCTGCAATTAACCAAGTACTTGGCCTCTAGTGGGAAAAGAGCTTCCACTAAGGACGAATCATTCGGGTACTACCCGAGTTCGATTCTTGGTGGAAACAAGGCTTGACCAGTGAGTCGTCCCTCTGAACCACAAAATCAGATTAGTTGGTTCACTATGTGAATCGAAACTGGTTGGCTAAAACCAAAAAAAAAAAACATTAGCTGCAATTTGAAATTGAGTATTGACGTGAAGACATGATATAATTTGGTCATCATAGGTGTCACAACAGGTTGAATGACAATCGACTTCAATATGCTTGGTGTGTTTTTGAAAAACCACGGTGAGAGGTTGCATTCAAGTAGCGAATTATACTATGAATTGCTGCTAAATAAAGATGACGAGAAAAATGCGTGAATTGACTTATCTTTTGAACAACAAAAGATATGTTGGGGAGGTAATATCAAAACCAATAATAACCATATCATCAACGTAGAGAAGAACCTGCATGATCTAAAGTCAAAATCAATAATAACCATATCACCGACATACAAAAGAGCCCGTATAATTCCCATAGATGTGATATAAATTTACAGAGAAGAATCATACTGGTGCATAGTATAGGAGAATCCAGGTAGAGTGGTACTTGAGCTTGCACACACCCTTCAATTAGGTCATCATAGAGAATAACATTTTTCATATCCATTTGATGAAGATACTTCCCATTAGAAGCAACATAGAGAATAACATTCTTCACGTCCATTTGTTGAAGATACTGTCCATTAGATGCATTTATAGAGATGTCAGTGCAAATAGTTGCCATTTTGGCAACTGGTGGAAATGTCCCGTCATGAACAATCCCACATTCCTACTTGTTTCCTAAAATCGAGTCATGTAACGGTTGAGGGATCCATCTGAATTCAATTTCAGAGAATACACTTGTTGTTTGCAGCTTATGGGTTTGACATCAAGAGGACAAGATATAATATCCCATGTGAAATTCTCTTGTAGAGCTTGAAGCTTCTCATGCATTGCTTTTTATCCAACGCAAATCTTTAACATCCTATAAGTAACAAGTAGGAATTGGATATGCTAGAGAGTGACGCAGTCAGAGAAGTATACGAGGAATCATACATATCTAATGAGTATCTATCTAGTGCTTGAGATATTCGACCAAAACATCGTGGTTCAATCGATATAGTCTGGAGTGGCGGTTCAACGTCCGGAAAGGAGGGTGGAAATGTGATGTCTGCGTTGTCTGACACATATATTACCTGGTTTATAAAATTCTATAGATTGAGGCATAATAGAAAAAATTGGAAAAATAGAAGGATCGTTCTTGGAAGGAGAAAGACTGTGAAACATGAATTGATGATAAATAAATGTCTCATTCCGAAAAATACGGAAAAATGATGGTTAGAGACATCATACATACAAAACCCTTATAAGAGTGACTATACCCCATGAATGCACATTGAGCAAACTTTGCTTCAAGCATACGTCTTTCAAACGGAGGTAGGTGAACAAAACATACACATACAAAAGTATGTAAATCACTATAATCAAGTTGAGTTTTAAAAAGACGAAAGCGTACCCATAGGTCATGAACGTGCACATACTAGGAAGAGTCTAGTCACATACATGATGCAAGCCAAAATGAAGCGGAAACTCAAAACCTTGAATGTTGTTGGGGGGAGATACTGGGAGCATTGATAAATAGTGTAGGACTAGCCACCTTTGTGAGAGACACACCACTTATCCACCTAAAACCTTAAGGTGATAGGTGAGTGAGTTCTCCCACTTATATATGCTTAAGTCTCCACATTCCTATCCAATGTGAGACTATTTCCTCACTTACTCACACTTGCTATATTATTCCAACACTCCCCCTCAAGTGTGAGTCTATAATGCTTCCCCACTTGTACCGCACCACTTCTTGGGCGAATTTCGATACAAGTTCCTTTCGGTCCCTTTCTCGAACCAAAGGCTCATGATACCAGATTGGAGAGAGATACTAGGAGCATTGATACATAGTGTAGGACTAGCCACCTTTGTGAGAGACACACCACTTATCCACCTAAAACCTTAAGGTGATAGGTGAGTGGGTTCTCCCACTTATATATGCTTAAGTCTCTACATTCCTATCCCACGTGAGACTATTTCCTCACTTACTCACACTTGCTATATTATTGCAACAAATGTCACCAAACTGATACCATGTAAGGAACTTTGGCCCGATGCCTTTTGTTTTGATATTTCACTGAATATATAATAGTTACAACATTTACAACTAATAATATTAAAACAAACATATTCTAGGAAATATGATAAATATAATTACAAATTGAAATTATTTCCTAATTGACCGAGCTTGTATCTCATAGCTTGCTGATGCTAGATAAATGATAAATGATTCAGAATTTCAGATAAAGAAACTTTAACGTGGACTTTGGTTAATCATCGACAGTGTTATATAATTCATGCATTATGAGAAATTGGTAGTTTTTATCCATTATAGAAGCTACCAGAACGATAAATGTATTTTACAGGGGGGGTTGCAAGTTCTCCTTCAATCTATTAAGGAACAGGACGCGGATAAAGTGTCAGTGAACCTTCAATCTACACTGGATATTGTGGCAGAGCTAGAGACATTACAGGTGATTCAAACCAGATAATATGATGTTATCTTGAAATCAAGAGTGGTTAATTTCATTTTTCCATTAAAATGACTGAATTTTATGTAACAATATGACACCATGTCCATAATCTGAACTTGATATTGTAACAACAGGCACCGGGACTATCTTTTCTCTTGCCGGGGCAGTACATGCAATATCCACGGTTAGTGACTCCTATTAAAAATTCATGTCAGTTACTATGTTGATGTAATTTATAACAGATCTTCTTACGCATTTCACATCCCCACCTGGTGGTTCTTTAGATCTTGAACATGCAATTATCATTCGATATGAGGCAAGCATAAAAAATGATTATACATTTAATCATTCTTATTACAATTCTTTCGAAAAATTTAATAAACAGAACATGGGGGGAAAACCAACATTTTCCTAGTTCTTTTGTAGGCTTTCAGGGAGAGGAACTGTTGAGTTCATAGTTGAGAAAGGAGATGGATCAACATTTTCTCCAGTTGGTGGAGAAGAGAGAAAAACTGCCACCATTCAGGTAAAACTCACTCCATAACTTGATCTTTTTGATTAGCTGCTGGTTGTTGATTTGATTGGCCGAGTCTCTTATAACATTAAGAAAAGGTCAATATTAAAAAACACTCCCTCTGTTCCAAAATAAGTGTAAGGTTCTTTCAGTTAGATTAACAAGTGTTTAAATTTTACAATAAATGAATTAATAAGTTTTTCAATTTTACAAAATTGTTCTCATTACTTATTGGCTATTAACAGTTATCATAAATGCATTGTGCGTTATAATGAATTGAAAGTGATGAACACAATATTTAGTTCGTGTAGTAAAATAGAAATAAATATATTAATGTTGTATTGAAAAAATAAAACAATGCTTATTTTGGAAAAATTTTCCTTTGCTAAATGACATTCATTTGGGATAAAGGGAGTATAGCATAACTTCAAATATGTAGTTCGCTGAATGGTGCACTGATAATTTACTGTTCGTAGATAGAATATTGAAACTAACTGATGATTAGTTTCTTCTCAGGTTGTTATAGATGGATATTCGGCTCCATTAACTGCGGGGAATTTTGCAAAACTGGTAAGGTAGTGGAACAGTACTTTCAGCCTTTTGAACTTAGTATGGCAATTCCTTGTCAATATCCTGTGTATACTACTCTTCGTTTTCCTCGCTTGGCATGGTTTATCTATGCTTTCAGATGTCCAAGTTTACTGAGTGAACTAAATCAGTGATGTTCATTTTTTTACTTGAATGGTTTACTATCAATGGCTAATGTCTCAATCATGGCCGTTTATGAGGGCGTACAAGGCGAACTAATGTACATGACCCATAATTTGACACATTTAAATTGTGGCAAAAAGAGTCTCATAAAATATTCTTCACAGATAAACCATGACATAATAGGGCCTATATTTGATTTGTTACACTTAAACCGTGATTAACCTGCACAGAGCCTCCGAAAACTTAAGACGACACTAGTCTCAATCCATTACCGTCTTCTTGTTTATCTTGAATTTTTCATGTATCATTTGTGGTTATATCCATCAATTTTTGTTTTCCTTATGATAAATACTTATTTGGCTTTTGTTTAAAATAATTAAAATGGAGAAGAAAGAATGGTTTCAGCAAATTGGAACATTCTGTTTTTTCTGTTAAAAATATATTGTTTAGAATGTGAATATGACACTGTATAATGTGGTATTGTTCATGTTTTTAAGTTTTGTTTTAATCATAGTTTGATTTTACATACCTTCCACTTATTAACATATTTTCAAGCCATATCTATCTAATGTGGTCTCTCACCACACTCAGTCACATATCCTATAGGTGATGGATGGAACATATAATGGCATAAAGCTCAACTGTTCCAATCAAGCTATTCTCTCGGAAAATAGACTAGATAAGAGCAGTGGTTACAGTGTTCCCTTGGAAATAATGCCAGCCGGACAATTTGAGCCCCTGTATAAAACAGCATTAAGTGTACAGGTATGTTTTTGTTTTATTTCATCGCACCTTTGCAGCACACTTGACAGACATTTATAGTCATGTTCTCATTTATTTTTCTATGTGCCTTTTGGAAGGATGGAGAACTGCCTGTTCTGCCTCTATCTGTTTTTGGAGCAGTTGCTATGGCTCATAACGAAGCCTCTGAGGAGTACTCATCACCTTATCAGTTTTTCTTCTATCTCTATGATAAACGAAATGTAAGTGCAATCCACCATTTTCCTTCTGCAACCCACCATTTTCCCTGCTACACGTCTTATATTTATTTTCTTAATCACTTGTTAAAGCCTAGTTAGTAATCTTTTCAATCTTATCCTCTGTTGTAGGCTGGCTTGGGAGGGATATCATTCGAAGAAGGGCAATTTTCAGTTTTTGGGTAAGCCGTGTGTGTTTAGTATTGTATAATCTGCTAAGCAATCAACTTTGGGATTTAACTTTTTTTCTTTTATGTTTTTGTTTATTTTCTGATACTGTGCACTATACAGATATACCACCATTGGGAGAGATATTCTCCCCCAGATAAAAACCGGTGATATCATTCGTTCGGCAAAGCTGATTGAAGGCCAAGACCGCCTTGTATTGCCAAAGGAAAGTTGAGTAGGCCACTTGGTCTTACACAGGAAAGTTGAGTAGGCCACTTGGTCTTACGGTGTTATCTGAGCAGGTAAAAACATTTCATTCTTTGTAATATGTATGCTGTTTGGTATCAGCCTGATTTTCCAGATGCAGGCTGTGTTGTAAATTATAATTATTGTAATATTATGATTCAAGATTCAAGTTACTTCATTTTGGAAAATAGATTTCTTGAAGAGTCGTATTATAATTTATACCCTTACTAAATTTGCTTCAGTAAGAAAATACTCGTGCATTTCTTCCCATTCCTTAATAATCAATATTCAAATCAGATTACTCGAGATTTTAACTTTAAGTTGTATACCTCCTGTAATATTTTATAATTTTTTTGACTGGAATATATGAAAAAGTTTAATCAGATTTAAACTTTATATTTAATCGTTGTATTGCTCTACTACAACAATCAAGATTCAATTCATTCTAGAGGTGTCTTTGATTAACATGGATCAACAGATACTCCAACTGCTGTACTAGTATCTTTTATCTGATCTATTAAATTTATCAACGATTCAAATTACATCTCCAGAAGCTCTAAAAAATATATTCAGATATGGAGAGGATGAAGATGGCAGATAGTTTGGTTGAAGAGAATCTAATTCCCTCCCTCATTTTGAAGTCACATCCTACCATGACATTAGAGGCTTCCATGGATTTAATTTAAAATATACACTCATTAATATACATCTTAATCTTGGTGCACAAAAAAGAGATGAAAGGTAAAAAAAAATATATTAAATGACGGCTACAAAAATAAAGGATAATGATTTACAATGAATTATATTAACCTATCTCACTAGGTTATTTATACACAAAATAAAATCTTAAATATTCTCTAACAAAGATATAAAAAGATATAATATCTTCTAAAAAGATATTCCTAAAATATAGATTAATATTAAATCGATGTCTTACTCCCGGAACAAAATAAGAGAACAATAGCTTGACAAAGGATTTAGACGTCAAATGGAATCCATAATGGATGGATTTGAGATATTGATACGGTGAATACTTAATCTATTCAATGCTAGGCAATGAGTCTAGGGACCTCAAAAAAAATCTCTTTTCTTCCTATCTTATGAACTTTAAGGTGTATGAAGTTTTATTTTCTATTTGATATTTTTATTGAAGTAGGTTGATAGAGAGTCCATTTAACTTAAGTTGATCCAGGCCGGAAGCAGACCTACGTCAGGATAACCTTCTTTGAAAAACTTTGGTAGTGCTCTTAGATTTTGATCTAAATAAGAAATCAGAGCACAGGGAGTCATTTCCTTTTTCTTTGTGTAAATCTAACATCATCCCTTAATTTATATTTTATCCAAAATTGACAACACCAATTTCATCCCTCAAGCGAAGAAATTGATCAGTCTTGATAGCCTTTGTTAGAACATCTGTCAGCTGCTTCTGAGTGCTACATGACAACTTCTAATATTCCGTTGTGAACTTGATTTCTCAGAAAATGATATTTGGTCTAATATGCTTGCTTCTCCCATGCAACACTGGATTCTTGACAAAATTAATTGCAGACTTGTTATCATTCATCAGCTTCAGAGGTTTGGCTACTTCAATCTTCAAATCTTGCAACAAGTTCAGAATACACACAGATTGACATGTAGTCAGAGCACCTGCAATATATTCAGCTTCACAGGTTGACAACGCAACAACAAATTATTTCTTGGAACACTAAGAAATAGGACCTCTCAGAAATTTGAATAAGTATCCAGAAGTACTTCTTCTGTCCACTCTATCTTCGCACCAATCAGAGTCTGAAGAACTCAGAAGTTCTGATTCGATCTTTCTTCCAGACGGAAATAACACTCTATACTTCAGAGTTCCCTTCACATACCTCAGAATCCTGACAATAGCTTGGTAATGAGACCACTTTGATTTACTCATAAATATACCAACTATTCCAACTGCATAGAAAATATCAGGTCTGATATTACACAAATACCTTAGAGAACCAACCAACTGTTTGAAGGTTGTAGCATCCACATCCTCTCCATCAAAATCAGAGTCCAACTTCTGATTCGTATCAGCAGGTGTGATAGCAACTTTGCAATTCTCTAGCTCAAATCTCTTTAGAAGCTCTAGTTCATACTTCATCTGATGCAAAATGATTCCTTTCTCAGAGTACATAAATTCCATTCCTAGAAAGAAGCTCATTTTCCCAAGATCTGTCATCTCAAACGCATTCATCAAAATTTTCTTGAACTCAGCTATCTCTTGTTCAGAACTTCTTGTGAATAATATGTCATCAACATACAAACATATCAGAATCATATTACCTTCTGAAGTGTGTTGAACATAAACACTATACTCCATCTCACACTTCTTAAATCTTTGTTCCTTGAAAAACGAATCAATCTTCAAATTTCAAGCTCTGGGTGCTTGCTTCAATCCATACAAGGCTTTGTGTAATTTGAACACCATCCCTTCCTGATTCTTTTTCTCAAATCCAAGAGATTGTGATACATATACCTCTTCTTGTAATATACCATTCAGAAATGTAGATTTTACATCTAAATGCATCATAGGTCAATTCCTGTTAGCAGCTATTGCAATCACTAGTCTGGTTGTTTCATGTCTCGCTACAGGTGCAAATACTTCAAAGTAATCTAGCCCAGACTTCTGTAGAAAGCCTCTTGCTACTAATCTTGCTTTGTGTTTGCCAATTGATCTATCTGGCTTTAGCTTCTGTTTGAAAATCCATCTGACGCTGATGGCTTTCTTGCCTTTTGGAAGTTCTGTCAGCTTTCAAGTCTTGTTTCTCTTTATAGCATCAAGTTCCTCTTTCATGGCCCGTAACCAAACTTGCTGCTTAAGAGCCTCTTCCGTACTCACGGGTCAGAGTCCACTAACATTGCACACTGAATAACTTCTCCTTCAGAGTCTAATTCAGTATCTTGCAACATGTCAAACTCTGTAAATCTTTTTGGGATGCTTCCGACTCTTTGTTTCCTCTGAACCGGACCTTCAGAACTTTGAACACCAGAACTTTCCCCTTTAGAAGCACTTGCTTCAGAAATTGGACTTTCTTCATAACCTTGACTATCTTTAGAGTCTGGATCACCATCGGAGTCAGAGTCAGAATCATCTTCTCCATCAGTATCTTCTTCAGAGTCAGAGTCTTTATCAGCTTCAGAAACACGTGTTTCTATTTTTTCTTCAAGAGTTTTCTCATCAGAGTCAGGACGAGACCTTTTTCAATTCCAAACTTCTGACTCTTTTACAATGACATCTCTGCTGAACTCAATTTTGTTAGTTTTTGGACAATAAAATTTGTACGAACCTGTACTGTGGTATCCCACCAGCAACATCACTTTACTTCTATCATCCAAATTTTGTCTTCTAGCTTCTGGGACATGTTTGTAACATACAAAATCAAACACCTTCAGATGACTAACACTTTGCTTATCTCCAGTCCACTTCTGAATAGGAACTATTTCCTTCAATTTCTTTGTTGGACATCTGTTGAGTACATAACATGCAGTTGCAACAATTTCTCCCCACAGAGTATGAAGAAACTTCTTCTCTTTCAGCATGCTTCTCACCATATTAAGAAAAGTACGGTTTCTTCTTTCAACAAGATCATTGTGTTAAGGAGTATATGGAGCAGTAACCTCATGTCCGATTCCATTCTCTTCACAAAATCTTCTGAATTCTGTGGAGTTATACTCACCACCACCATCAGTTCTAAGAATCTTCAAAGTCTGACCACTCTGATTCTCAACCTTCAGTCTAAACTTCTTGAATTCAGTAAATACCTCGTGTTTGAACTTTATGAGAGGTACCTGTGTCATTTTGGTAAACTCATCAACAAATGACACAAAATATTTATTCTCTCCAGTTGATGCTACTGGAAAAGGACCGCACACATGCACACCTTGCATGACTTTTCAGGCTTCTTAGTTGTAGGAATTCCATGTACCAGATTCTTTGATTTCAGATGCCCTAAACTTCTGAAATTCAGATGACCAAATCTTCTGTTCCATATCTCACTCTCCTTGACAACACTTGTTGCACTAAGACATTCAGAGTCCACAGTTCTAACATTCACCTTGAATGTTCTATTTTTTCCCTGTTCTGACTCCATAATCAGCTTCTGATTACAGTCATACAACTTTAGAAGATTGTCCTTCATGGTAACTGAAAAATCTTTCTCAACCAGTTGTCCCACACTCATCAGATTGCTTTTCATGTCAGATACATATCATATATTCTGGATCACTACTGTTTTCCCATTGTTTAGAATGATTCTGATATTTCTCATACCTTCTGCATTGAGGTATTTATCAGCAGCACATCTGATCTTTGTACTCTTTTCAGAGTCAAAATCAACCAACTATTTCTTGTTTCCAGTAAGATGGTTTGAACACCCTGTGTTCATATACCATCATTCTGATGCATTCAGATCATCAGGTTCAGAAGCCAACAATAGCACAGTTCATCATCTGACTCTCCTCTGACTATATTTGCTTCTTCTGACTTCTTTTCTTTGTTTGACCAGCAATCTTTGGCATAGTGACCAAAGTTCTTGCAACAGTAACACTGAACATTCTTCTTATCAAACTTCTCCTTTCCCTTCTGGATATTCTTCTTCCTATCAAAGTTTGAAGCTTCTGACATTTGACCACCCTTAATTTTCTTCCTGGCTTCTGACCAAGTCTGCTTCTAATACTTCTTACCAGAAGTTACTTTCAGAGCCTGTTGCTCTACTTCTCTCTCAGAAGTTCTCGCAGTCATACGCAACTCATGCGCCTCTAGACTACTTTACAGCTCTTCAACTCTCATGGTGCTCAGATCTTTGAAATATTCAATTGCTACCACAATGTAATCAAACCGAGAAGTTAAAGATCTCAAGATCTTCTCAATAATGACTTGTTCAGAAAGAGTTTCTCCACAAGTTTTCATATCATTAGTGATCAGAATTACTCTAGAGATATACTCAGAAACCTTCTCGTTGT